CCCCAAAACCCCAAAACCCCAAAACCCCTAAAATATCCCGATTTATTGAAAATCATAAAATGAGTAAGTCTTACTGATAGAAGATCCAACTGAGCTTTCTTAACTAATCTTTGAACTACACCTTCAAACCATATCTTTCAAAATCAATGGAAATGGAATCTGAGCAAAATCTAGTGAAAAGGAAACCCTGAATTAGCACTTCTTTAGAAGACTCATTGAAACGTCTGATTCAAGTAAAAAGATGAGGAATTTCACAGGCTAAAAGATAGTTTTCTCTACTAAAAATAACCTAATAGGAGCAACCTCACACAAATCTATCAGTCTAAAACAGAAGGAGTGCATAGTCACAGTCAAATGCTAGAGACTTTGCACAGAGAGCAAGTGTACACAAATAACCAAGCAGGATACCCTAAAGTTGCCCTTGAACGTATGCACAAAAGGAAGGGAAGGAAAATTGGATACGAACATGAAGAATCCACTGACACTAGAGCCACTCATCATTACTATAAGAACATACTTGAAGAGGATAAGTATGACTTTGATCAAGAATGGAGCTCTGCTGCAGACAAAGCAGGCTTAGATCCAGGTCTCAATGCCTCACATTTTACTCTGCATATTCGAAGTCTCCTCATTGTTGTAATGTAGGGTATGAATACATGACTGTTTTTACCAAGATGACCACAGAAAAGATCATTATGTCTCAGATAAACCTAGAAGAGCTATCAGGAATTCTGACACAGTTAAAGACATCCAACTTATACTGAAGATATGATCCTTCCTAATCCAAACCACTAGTATAATATCCCAGTGAAAAGAAAGCAAGAGAAAGCTTTTCTTCATTATTCAAAGAAAAGAAACCTTTTCACTAAAATTTCTGATGGGAGCTATCACAGAGAATACCCAAGTTCAGGAGGACCTATCAACAGCTAGATCCACACAAGTATTTATTAGCCCCGTATCATCTTGAAGATCCATAAACAAATTTCTATTTCTGATGAATATAATGGGGTTTTGGGGTTTTGGGGTTTTGGGG